AGCGCACAGTTGCCTATCACGAGGCCGGGCACGCCGTGTGCGGATGGTTTCTGGAACACGCGGACCCCCTGCTCAAGGTGTCGATCATACCCCGCGGTCAGGGCCTCGGCTACGCTCAGTATCTGCCGCGCGAACAGTACCTGTACTCCAAGGAACAGCTCTTCGACCGAATGTGTATGACTTTGGGCGGTCGCGCCTCCGAAGAGGTGTTCTTCGCGCGCATTACGTCCGGAGCTCAGGACGACCTCAAGAAAGTCACTCAAAACGCGTACTCACAGGTCGTGCAGTTGGGTATGAGTGCTAAAGTCGGGCACTTGTCGTTTGATTTGCCACAACCGGGAGAAATGGTTGTCGACAAGCCGTACAGTGAGGCCACCGCACAGCTCATCGACTCGGAGGTCAGGGAAATGGTTCAAAAGGCGTACGAACGCACTGTCGGTATCGTTCGCGAGCACAGGGAGGACGTGGAGAAGGTATGCGATACACACCCTTGTTGTGGGGGTGGGGGAGGCGTATGGGACTGATGTTTGTAAAGTTTTTATTAATTTTTATTTTTTGTTGCATTTGTTTTACAGATAGCGTTGCGATTGCTGGAGAAGGAAGTGCTGAATCGCGAGGACATGATTGAGCTCTTAGGCGACCGTCCGTTCAAAGAGAAGTCCACTTATGAGGAGTTCGTTGAGGGCACGGGTGGTCTCGACGAAGACATATCACTGCCTAAAGGCCTCGAGGGTTGGAATGAGCCCAAGAGTGGCGGCAAAGCGCCCGCCGCGACACCTAAGTCTACGTCAGAGCCCTCCCGACCCGAGTGACCAATGATGGCCGCGTCAGAGACTTTGTGGGCGCCCGCTGTGTGTGTGTACGGGCTGTACATACGTGTAGTGATTAATACTATTGTTTAGTTGTATTTGACTTATAATTATAGTTATTTTTGTGATTTATTGAATCAATAAATGATTTTAAATGAGAAATCTATAGTGTATGGTATGAGTGAAGTGGCGTTATCTGTATTGGGTTTATGTTATGGCTATGACTATGTATTATAGGGTATGAGGTCAGTGGCGTAGACTTGTAATTGAAGTTATTTTTACCATATTTCATTAAAATATCAAAATTGCAACAATAAACATGTTTTAAAAATTAAAATATAGAAAAAATACACAAAAAACACCAAAAAATTGCTCAAACAGTTGGTAACAAAAAACATGACACTCCCCGTCGAGTCACAGCTACACCATCTGTACGCACGGGTACGGGTGTGCGAAGTGGCGCTGCGGGAAATTGATGTCGAAACTGATCGGAATAATGATTTTGTGGATTCTCAAGTCTCCATACGGCCGGAGCTGTTCGGTCAGCCGCAGGCCGTGTGGATCGACGACACACCGGCGGTAGCTGTGGTGACGCCGCACGAGCGGCCGGCATGGGGTCGGGTGGACCTGCGGGTGACGCTCCGCAACCCACGGGTCAGCCGTGACTACCGGACGACGGTATGTTGGCTGGTTCGGAGCCTCAGTTTACCACTCAGGTACGTGGCGTTTAAAAAACGTGATGCCCGGGGTGGGCGTGACCCGTTATACGCCCCCGGGATGCCTCTCACCCCACTTGTTCCGTATGAAGTTAGTGTTCACACTATACGTTCATTGACTGATCGCCAGGCGATGGCCGCCGGCGCTGCCGACCGCCTGTACGTCATTGGCGCTGAGACCGCACGACTACTCCATACGGCTGTGTTCAGTGAATTTTAGCCACTCGTTATCAACGAGTTGGCGGCGATTCGGGCCGATCTCGATCACCTGGGGTGGGGCGTTATGGACGACCCGCAGCGACAGCCAGTGTTGGCCGCGCTGCCCTATCAGGCCCTGTTGGACGAGTATCCGGACCAATTCCTGGCTACTGTCGGCGCTATGGCCGGTTTTGTTGGCCGCCGACTGGCCCGGGCTGAGCGCCAACAAGAGAATGTGAATAGGATCGTGAACTCGGCTCTTGTCGTCGATGTTGTCTTCGTGGGCACTGGTTTCCAATGGCAAAACATTTTCTATAATGAGATATAGGCACACACAGAAACACACCCGGCCACTTTTGTTTATGAATTATTAGTTTTATTAAATATCATGTGATCATTGGTTAGATTTTGTGGATAATAATGATTTTTTTGTGATTTAATGAATTAATAATTGATTTTAATTCAGAATTAATTGCATAATTAATACAATTCACGCGTAAAATCTTTGACTATCACTTTGAATATCGACGCCCGACCCTTGATGTCCGGCGGCGGCACAAATATCTGCCGATCGAACCGTCCGGGCCGTAGCAGCGCGTGATCCAAAATGTCCGACCTGTTGGTCGCCGCTAAGACCACGACGTTTGTGGTGGTGTTGAAGCCGTCCATCTCTACCAACAGCTGATTCAATGTGTTTTCCTGTTCGGAGTGACCGCCGAACGAACGGCCGCCGCGTTTGCGACCGACGGCGTCGATCT